AGATTTTTAATTTGAAGGTTCTGTGAATAAAGTTTTCATTGATTTTGGGTGGGAAGTTTTAAGAAAAATGTGACTTATTGTACCTGTGTTGCTTTGCTTTTCAGCATGTGTCATACTATGAATGATGTACTATAGCTGAAGTTTAACCTTCTTATATTTTTGCCTTTCCCGGGTTCCTCCTTTCACCCTCATCAACAACAAACCTTTTCTTTTTGATTTGCATGCCTTATTGATCATCACTGGTGGGGGAGGAGGGGGGGGGGGGGGGGGGGGGGGGGGGGGGGGAGGGCAGGAAGGTGCTGCACATAGCTTCCTGAAAACATTACAAAAACCTACCTCCAGTTTTTCTCCCAAGAACCCTTGGCCCTGATGCAAACAGTGGGCTGCCTTTTGGAAGGAGTTATGTGGGGCTAGGTTAACACCTCGGCGATTTAACGAGCTGTTTTCGCCTGGTTGTTGCACACTTTTCAAAGCAAAATCACGCCAAAGAAAAAACGCGCGACATCCGTGCGGTTTTCAATGTATGGAGATGTCTATGGGATCACAACCACCTGAAAATAGCTCCTGCACCTTTTGGTGCAACAGTCGATTTTGGGCACATGACGCAATGCCTGTGAACGGGCCCCATTGACTTCAATGAGAATCTGTGTTTTGCGCATTATCGCACGGATTTAGCCTAGGTGTGAACCTAGCCTAATTTCAACGTGCCTTGATGGGTGGATGTGAATCTGGAGGAGTGGGCAGTTCTAGGCAGGCTGTATATGCTTGCAGACCAACCTAGGTACCACCTTCATGTGATGCTGAGTTTCTTCAGGCAGAAAGTGAGGGAAAATGTATAACAGCCAAACGGACAAGAAATAAAAATGCTTTTTATAAGTCAAGTAGGCAGGGCTGGATTTACTCTCTCTGCTGCCCCAATGCCAGGTTCCTCAATGCGCCCCCTCTGTATGCAGGCTGCATACAAGTGATCTCGGCGACATCTCATGCGCAGACTGCCCAGCGCTCTCATTCAGAAATCCTGTGCATGCGCAGTAGCAGGCTGAGGGCCGATCACGCGGGCGATGTGCACACAGGAGACGTGGGCAGATCCCGGAGAGCTTTGAAAGTGGTAGCTGGCCGGGGGACTGTTATGGTAATGACTGCTGCTACGGATCTATGTGAGGGGAATGATTTGTCTGCAGGGTGGTGGTCGTGTCACCATATTATCCATATTATCATATTTGTTTGCCCAGCTCGACACTGATTGGCTGGGAAGCCGGCTTCCTGGCCAATCGGCATGGAGCCAGCTTCGCGGCTCCATGTTCCCTCGCGGCACTGCCGGTCAGAGGAAATCTCCCTCTGTTTGGAAGTTCCAGTATCGAGAAAGGTATCGGAGCATTTGGGCGAGTACGAGTACTCTCCCAAATACTCGGTACCGCTACTAGTATTGATGCGTCCCTAGTGGACAGTAGGAGAAAGTAGCTATGGGGCATGACTTGTACCCTCATCCTAGTCTTCTAATCCCTTTTTATTTTTAATATTTACACTTTATAGTTTAAATTGAGCCTGCAAAATATTTCTAAAGCTAGCCGTAGATGAGCTTCAACCATAGCTTGCCCTTTAAATATTTTTATATTTTCATTATTTGGGTCATGGCTTCTTCC